AGAAGGGGCCTTAAGAATTAGAGTATAGGGTTTGAGGGGTATATTCTACGAGAATTATAATGAGGAACCCCCAAAATAGTATAGCTAACTATTGTTGCCCCTTTTTTAAACCCCCAAGAGAAATCTCAGGCCCGAACCGGTTCCCCGGCGTTCCAGCCTGTTGCTGCAACTTCGGAGTTTGGTGAGGACAGGGAGCAGACATGGTGTGAAGGGCTCTAGGCCTTCAGCATGGGCGAAGTTAGCGTATGGGGCTTTACGGCTTTTTGGGGGGTTTAGGGCTTCAAGGTCTGAAGTCTCAAGGGTCTAGGAGTTCACCCTGTCACTCTCCTGAAATTCTGACGACCTGTGCAATGCGATGTTCGTGAACGCGACTGCCAAGGGAGCAAGCTTAGACTTTGGGTCCTATAGGGCTGAGGCTTTTGGGCACTTCTGCGCAGGCCGCGTCACAGAATTGGGATCCCCACGGCCAAGAGCACCGCCGCTATGGAAAAGCAACGGCCGTATCCGACCTCGTTTGTTTGAGGAGCTCAGCGATTGTGCTCCCTTCAGAGACCCAGAGACTCCAATATCACTTAATTAAGGAATATACCATAAATCATATTTGGGATCCTACTATAATTTCAGGTATATTATGGTTTTGGGGTATAGTACACTTTAATTATGACAAGGAGCTAGTTGACAGAGGATTTTCACCAGCAGCAGCTACATCATCTGTACCATCCTGCACTGCTAGTATGCTTCTAGATAGCTTATACAACAGGAGCCCGTGAAAAAATCAACAAACACCAAGAAACCGCCATGGCTGGCGTGCTGAAGATTTGGTCAGTTTGGGATGTCCAGTGTTTAGTTGTTTTTTTTGTTGGGTCGTTTTGGGACTCTTGTGTGTCATCTTGATTGATTGTCGATTTTAGGGTCTCTGTGGTTTGCTTTTCCTGATCACAGCCTCTCCTGAGTTTTGCGATAATCACTCAACCATCAGAGACATGACAGCAAGTACTTTGTTCGATTAATGTCAGTTTGATGTTTGATTGGTTCTAGTTTCACGATAATCATGATTTGCGATTGGGTTGGATTTTTTTTGATTTGGACTATCCCCTGTCTTGTCAGGCTATCCAGCCACCGGAAAACTCCGAGCAGGAGACCGTCTTCAGTGGCATGGACACACTCGTCATCACATCCAGGATGGCAAGGCCGCTGTGTACCTGCCAAGAAAGCCCTGACCCTTAGCCCTGAGCTTGTTGAGCAAAGGATGAAAATCAGAACCATTCTTGTCACGCTTGAAACAGCTCTCCCTACCACTACAACTACCATTTCACTCCTCCTCCTCCTACTACTACGACTACTACTACGACTACTACTACTACTACTACTACTACTACTACTGCTACTACCACGCTACTACTACCACACTCCTCCTCCTCCTCCTCCTTCTCCTGCTGCTGCTGCTGCTGCTGCTCCTGCTGCTGCTGCTGCTGCTGCTGCTACTGCTTCTGCTACTGCTACTGCTACTGCTACTGCTACTGCTACTGCTACTGCTACAGCCATGACTAAGACAACTACCACTACTACCACCACCAACACCACTGCCATCACTACTACCACACGACCGACAACCCACTACCTCTCACCGTTACCACCACTACGACCACTACCACCACTACTATCACGACCGACTACCGACTGCCGACTAGCCACTACCCACTACGACTCCGGCGGCGGCGGTGACGACTATTACCGGTACAGCTCCCTTCGCTGACATTGTGCAGCTACATCGCCGTTCTAGTAGCATCATCATAGATGGCAGAACCCCAAAGCCTGAATCCTGCAGCCTTTTCTTTCCGATACCTAAAGCTAACGACCGCAAAGCCTACAACCCTGACCCTAAACCCCAAACAACCCAATCCAAAAACCCTAAAGCCTCGGCCACGCAAGGAAAATCCAACAAAAACCGAAAGCTTACAACCCTAACCTCTCAAAAGTCCGAGTTCGAATACGGGACGTAGTTCAGGGGAGCGTGACTTCCCGAGCCTCAAACGCACAGGACTTTGGTGGGAGCATGATTTTGGGAGGCGAAAACGCGAGTCGCAGCCGAAGTACGCAGGGCCCATGGTGTTACCACGGTGTTTGGGGGGATACAGCCCCCCGGTTGAGCCCAGTAATTATCAACACATTCCGTATCATCCCACAAAACAGCCCTCCTAAACCCTAAACCCTAAACCCTCCTACAAGGGTCACGAGGCCGCCACCGGAGTTGATGAAGATGGTCACCGGCGTGTCGGGGTCATCAGCCTGGCCCAGTGTAATGTAGTAGCCTTAATGACTAGAATAGGGTTTTGGGGGGGGTTCCTTTACAGGGTTCCTTAAAGGGTTACTATAAGGGCTACTATAAGGGTTTAGGGTTTAGGGGCCTGAATACTATAAAGGAGCCCAAAACCCTATTCTAATTATTAAGGCTCCTATATTACAGGCGACGAGGTGTGCAAGGGACCTTATCGAAGGCTGTACGGATTTGGGCTCACGATGTAGATCGTCAGGAAATGCTTCGGGGTCTCTCAGGACGGCTTCCTTCCTGTGCCTTGTGCATTGTTCTGGTCTGGCCGGACATGGAAACTTCAGAGTCTATGGGACCCGAATGCAGACTCGAAGTCGAAGGATCCTGAATATGGAGGCCAAACAAGACTCATCATACTTCCAGTGCATCCAAACCATCTCGCCTGTCTTAAGCCTAAAGCTCTGCACCCCAAACCCGGCAGCTTAAACGATCATCCCAGATCCTATCGTCCCTTAACCCCAAACATCCTCACGAAAGCGATGGTAGCTGGTACCTGAAGGAATAGGAGCTGCTGTGTGAGCACCTGCGCTTCTTAAGGTTTTAGGGCTTGGGGATTTAGGGCTTCAGGGTGTCTGGCTTTGGGCTTGCGGGTTTAACGGGAGATGAGGGCTTCGGGCTTTGAGGCAGCGCGGCTTGCAAATGCCCTCACGTACTCCTCTTCGGTGCAACATCGGGAGAGCTTCAACAGCCGGATAGCCATCTTAGCCATCGTTGCCATGAAGATAAAGACAACACCAAACCATAATGACAACCCGGGTGTGAATCCACGGGATTGTTACATTACCACCTGAAACATGGTAGCACGGAGCCTTGTAACATGGGAGCCTGAGTAGTTGGAATAGGGCTTTTGGCTGTAGTATAGTATATGTACATAGGCACTATAAGGAGATACTGCTACTAATCAGTCAGACCGCCGATATTATCCAGAGTGAGCAGTGTCAGTGCAACTTGTGACGGGGCTTCGATCTTCGTGGGACCCTTCGTCAATCCCTAAACCCAGGCCCAAATGCTGAACCCCGCTTCAATACCCTATGATAGCCGCTATAAAAGAAAAGCAAAAAGTTTGTAAGGCACTTATAATAAAAACCCTATTCTAATCATTAAGGCGCCTTTTTAAGGCCCTGTCTACTACGTAGTTTAGCACATGTTGACCTTGCTGGGGCTCGTGGCTTCTCAGGAGACTTAGTAAGTAGTCCTGACTTGCGGCTATAAGTAATTACATGTAGTTACCCTACTTCTCACCCTACTCCATCAAGTCCCCTGATCCTCCTAGCCCTAAACCCTAAACCCTAAACCCTAAACCCTGAACCCTAAACCCTAAACCCTAAACCCTGAACCCTGAACCCTAAACCCTACTTGACAGCGACCTCCGAACGGAGCTGAAGCAGAAGCCCCTCCCGAAGCCCTCGGGCCGGCGGTGGATTTCAATTTTACGTTGGGGCCGGGACCTAAGGATGCTGTAACCCCCGAACCCTAAACCCTCAGCCCTAAACCCTAGTATACACTCTACTATATACTATACTAGATACTATACCATATACTATACTATATACTACATACCATACCATATACTATACTATGTACTATGTACTATACCATATACTATATACTATACTATGTTTAAGCCCCGAAGCCCCGAACCAGAAAGGCGCATAAAAGCAGCGTAGCAGAGCACCGGACCTTGGCCGACTCGTCGTTGACCTCCCCGGTGAGGAAGACCCGCCTGGCCTTCAACATCTCCTGCTTGGAGGATCATGAGACTTAGTAAGTAGGGTTATAAGTACCTTCATTGGGGTTTAAGTACCCTAATTGGGGTTATAATTATAGCTACCTTATTTATAACCCTAGTTACTAAATCCCATGATCCCCCAAGTGCCCCCCCCACACCAAGAAGCCGAGCTCGAAAACAATGTGTGTGTGTGTATACAATAAGTGAAATGTGGTATATGGCAAATAGTAAGGGTTTAGGGTTTAGGGTTTAGGGTTTAGGATGTAGGGTTTTGGGTTTAGGGTTGACAAATAGTCTAAAGTCAGTGAGGAAGTAGTTAAGTCAGTAAGCGGGTAATTGAGTGAGCGAGGGAGTGAGTGAGCGATTAAGTCCGGGCACGAGCGAGTAAAAAAGTAGTCAGGCAAGCAAGTAGGTAAGCAAGCAAGCAAGTGATAAAGCGAAACGCAGCACACTACTCAAAAAAGGCTGCAACGACAGCACTCGAAGCAGGAGCAGCAACAACGACGACAACTTAAGTTAGCAGACGGTGTGATGATGAAGATGACCATCTACCAAACAACCAGCAACAGCGACAGTTGCAGCAACTACAGACACGGCAACAGCAGCAGCACTACCACCAATAGCCACCACCATCAACAGCACCAGCAGTACAACAACATCCAAATCCACAACCGCAGCCATGGACGAGTAGCAGCCTTATCATCAACCACAACGAGAAGAATAACAGTTCCCGCCACTCACCAAGCAGCAACGGAAGGAGGAGGAGAAGCAGCAGTAACAGCAACGGCATTCAATGGCAAGCGCCGGCAAAGAGCAGCAGAGACTGCTGGGCGATGTTTATGGATGGCAATCAGTCGAAGGGTGGTGTTTGCTTGTGCAGTTAATCTGGGATCACTCTGCTTCTCTCGAAACTCGTCACCGAGGAACCGAGGACGACTCCTGATCTATGTTGACCGTCCGCGCCGCCGGTGTCTTCTTGCCGGCTCCTTTTCATACCACACGGAAACTGAGTGACAACTGGTTGCAACAACAACCTCTACCACAACACTCGTTTTCTCGCAAGTTCTCACGACCACAATCCGACGAAAAATCCCAACCGGTCCCAAACCCGAGCAGGTTCACTGGGCACGGACATCCTGCATCCTTGGCCGGGTCTTTGACGGCTTCTTTGGCAGGTTCTTTGCTCGGCTCCACTTTGTCGGGTGCCTTTTCTGGCTCTTTGGGCACCGCCGGCGCCTGCTCCTGCAGATCAAGGGTTAGCAATGGTATATATAGGGTAGTAGGGTCCCAGGGTTAAGGGCCATACTAGGGGCCCATGGGTTCTACCTTAGAAATGTAGGGGTTTGGATCTTCAGATTCTAAACATTACATCTTGGGAGTTGGGGCCCACTACGTCTACACTGAGCACCATGTGATGTCGTATCGGCGTGTGCTTCGCCACCAGAAACATTGTTGGCATTCAACGTCAGCTGTTGCTCTGTGACTCGTCGTGATGACTGCGGCGATTTAGGTCATAATGATCAGTACGATGAGTGACTATGGGATTTTGCGACTATTGCCATGCCACGGCGAAGTCGAGGTGATCGACGACGGCGGCGGCGGTGACCTCTATGCCACTACCTTTGCTACTGCTATTGCAAGTATTACTACGAGTACTACTAGTACTACTAATGAATACTACTAGTACTACCAGTGCTGCTTAACTAGATGCTACTAATTAGATCTACTAGTAACTGGAACTACTACGTAGACGACGTAAGACCCATGCCTGCAAAGCATGCGTGGACCGCCAGGCGAGCAATCCCGCTGTGCCGACCAACACCTTAAAGCTCGTTAAAGGGTTTGCAGTAAGTAGGGTTTTGAGTTTATGTTGTACGGCGTAGTTTAGGGTTTAGGCTTCAGGGTTTCAAGGTTTGAGGTTTACGTGGTTTCATCGACGATCACAGCCAACATGCCTCAGGTATTTCTTGTCGCAGCACTCGTCCGGCGAGCTGGCTGAGGGAGCAGCGGGCGTAAGAGTGATGAGCCGGCGGCCTGCTCATCAGAAGCCGCGGCAGAGCTTAAACAGTTTTTCGCTGCGGCATGGAACATATTTGCACGAAGCTGTTGCAAGGCATGAGTACGGCCGCGCTCAGCAGCAACGTGGCAACGAAAACAGACAACGGATCCTCCAAACGACAATGATAAACAAAGTCTGCTGACATCTGCTGACAAAGCAAGCGATGACGATGATGTCACAGTGATCAAAAGAGCAGCAGGAGCTCGTAGTGGTAGTGGTAGTGGTTATTGGTCTTGGTCGTGGTGGTGGTGGTGGTGGTGGTGGTGGTGGTGGTGGTGGTGGTCGTCGTGGTCGTGGTCGTGGTCGTAGTCGTGGTGGTAGTAGTAGTGGTAGTGCTAGTGCTAG